AGGTGGCAGTCACAAGGTGGTTGTCACTGCCTGGGTGTTATGGGTTGAAATATATTCCCCTCCAAAATTCACATGTTGAGGTCCTAGTCTCCACTACCTAAAAATGTGACCTTATATGGAAATTGGGTCATTGAGGATAAAATGTATTAAGATGAAGTCATACTGGAGTAGGGTGGACCCCTAATCCAATGACTGGTGTATTTAAAAAAAGAGGAAATTTGGATAAAGAGACACACACATAAGAAGAATGGCACATGAAGACTGGAGTTGTGCTGCCACAAGCCAGGAATTACCAGAAGCAGAGAGAGAACTGGACCAGATCCTTCCCACAGCTTCAGAGGGAGCATGGTGCTGCTAACACCTTGATTTTGGACTTCCAGCCTCCAGAACTGGGAGAGAATAATTTTCTGTTGTTCCAAGCCACCTAGCTGTGGTGCTTAGGAGGCTCATACACTGCACATGGCAAACTTGGTCACAGCTGTTCACATTGCCCTTCCTTCTAATGAGTTGTGTGCATTACTTAACTGCCATTTAATATGCCTTTTAAAAGATTATGTTATGATTCAGCATTGAAAGGTCAGCATTTTCCAGGCCTTTACATCAAAAGGCCTGGAAATGGAAACGTGGGGCATATATTTGATGTTAGTGGAAAAAATGCTCGTGGTTGGTGGAGTAGACAGTAATTCCAGATTTTCTTGCAAAGCAACACTTAAGTGCTTCATGGGACCTAGGAAAGGGAGACATCCACATGTAGATGAAGGTGGGTTGTGTTTTGATACTGAGGTATGTGCAAAGTGACTGCCTATCTCAAATGCATCCAAAAAAAAAAAAAAAAAAGTGACGGAAACTCAAGGAACGCCTTATAAAGAACTTCCATCTCATGTTTCCTGTGATTAAAACTAAATCTGCTCCAAGGCCAGGCACTGTGGCTCACACCTGTAATCCCAGTGCTTTGGGAGGCCCAAGCAGAACTGTTTGAGCCCAGGAATTAGAGACCAGCCTGGGCAACATACCCTGTCTCTACAAAAAATTTAAAAATTAGCTGGATGTGGTGGTGCATACTGGTATACCGGTAGTCCTAACCCCTTGGGAGGCTGGTGGGGGTCGGGGGGAGTGGAGGGCAGGCAGAAAGATAGCTTGAGCCCAGGAATTCAAGGTTGCAGTGAGCTATGATTGTGCCACTATACTCCAGCCTGGGTGACAGAGTGAGACCCGTCTGGGGAAAAAAAAAAAAAAAGTTCCAAACGATGGCATGTAGCACAAGTCAAGGTTTCACAATATTTCAAACTGAAATAAAGTGGCTGGAGAATGAAGGTGTCACCTTGCCATCAGAGGTGTGTGTTGGAGGCCTCAGAAGAACTTGCACCATAGCAGTGACAGCTATAGTCACCCTGCAAGCTGATGTACTGCCGCCCAGGCCCTAACTTATACAAACCAATTCGGCATGTTTACTGGCATAGTTGTAAATTGTGCATTGAAGTATTCCATGTTTCCGTTTCCAGGGATAATATGATCAGGCACTCATACAATGCATATTTCTTTAATACCAACAAGAACAATTCAGGAGACCACAACCAGCTTTACTAAGTTTTGCCTCATTAAAACTGGCATTCAAGAATTGCCTGGTACAATATTCTGGCTTAAGCATGAGGCCTAATGATACTGCGCTAGAAACAAAAGCTTTGAAATTTTCAGTTCCATGTTGTACAGCAAATGTTTTCTGTATCAACATCATTGAAGACAAAATACAGAAAGAAATTGAATATAGAGCTGGACATCGGCCAGATGTTTTTACTACTGAATCCAATACCGAAGATTTTGTTTCAGCCAAACATATCATCTGTCACATTGTACTTACTCTAATATATCCCTTATGTTATTTTGTTTATATTTTATCTTAAACTTGGTTTTAGTTTTATAGTTGTATAAGACTGTTATAGGCCAGACGTGGTGGCTCATGCCTGTAATTCCAGCACTTTGGGAGGCCGAGGCAGGCAGATCACCTGAGGTCAGGAGTTCGAGACCAGCCTGGCCAACATGGTGAAACCCCATCTCTACAAAAACTACAAAAATTAGCCAGACATGGTGATGCATGCCTATAGTCCCAGCTACTTGAGAGGCTGAGGTGGGAGGATCTCTTGCACCTGGGAGGCAGAGGTTGCAGCGAGCCGAGGTCACACCTCTGCACTCCAGCCTGGCCAACAGAGTGAGACCCTGTCTCAAAAACAAAACAAACCAAACGAACAAACTGTCTATTCCAAAGCTTTTGCCCTTGCAACTACACAATACCAGGTATACATTTGTATCTCAAAATCTAGTCGCTGGGATACAGAAAAACACATAGGGAAACCTGTTAACTCACCTTCAGTTTTTCCTTGAGAATTCTAGTCCTTTGTAGTTTTATCATTTCATTTCTTTCTAAAACAGCCTCTCGCTGACTCTGAATAGCTTGCTAGGTTGTGAAAGGAAATGGAAGCATGCAGAGAGCAGTGTTATCAACAGTAATGAGGTGGCAAGATGCACATTTTTTTGGCAGATCTTCATTTGGTCCAGACAGTCAAATGTGCATGCACTGTATTAGAATTAAACACAGTTGCCGGGCATGTTGGCTCATGCCTGTAATCCCAGCACTTCGGGAGGCCAAGGTAGGTGGATCACAAGGTCAGGAGATCGAGACTATCCTGGCTAATCCAGTGAAACTCCGTCTCTACTAAGAATACAAAAAATTAGCCAGGTGTGGTGGCACATGCCTATAGTCCCAGCTACTCAGGAGGCTGAGGCAGGAGAATCGCTTGAACCCAGGAGGCAGAAGTTGCAGTGAGTCGAGATTGCATCACTGCACTACAGCCTGGGCGACAGAGTGAGAGACTCCGTTTCAAAAGAAAAAAAAACACAGTTGACCCTTGGACAACATGGGTTTGAACTGCGTGGGTCCATTTATACGTGGATTCTTTTTCAATAATTGAAAAACATTTTGAAGATTTGCGACAATCTGAAAAAACTCACAGACAAACCCTGTAGCCTAGAAATAACAAAAAGTTAAGAAAAAGGTATGTCATGAATGTATAAAATAGATGTAGATCCCAGTTTATATTTGATCATGTACTACCATGAAATGAACGATTCTATTATGAAAAGTTAAAATTTATCGAAACTTCTATAAACACCTATAGACTGTACATGGCACCATTTGCAGTCAAGAGAAATGTAAACAAGCATTAAGATGCAGTATTAAATCATAACTGTGTAAAATTAACTGTAGTACACACTATACTACTGTAATAACTTCAGAGCCACCTCCTGTTGCTGTTGTGATAGCTCAAGTGTTGCAACTATCTACTTAAAACGCCAAACGCCACGTGATGTTAATCATCTCCACGAAAGCAGTTCATCACTCCAGTAAATTGCATATGGCAATAAAAAGTGATCTCTTGCAGTTCTCATGTATTTTGCAGCTTGTTTAGTGCAATACCCTAAATCTTGAATAACACCATGGGACCCATCTGAAGTCCAATGATCCTGGAGCAGCTCCCAAGTAGCAGAGAAAAGTCATGACATTGCAAGAAAAAGTTGAATCGATATGTGCCGTAGATTGAGGTCTGCAGCTGCTGTTGCCTGTCATTTCAGATGTACAATTCATCTTGTAAACAGATGAAGTAAACTTACTCTATTGATAAATACAGTGCCGTATTGTAAATGTATTTTCTCTTCCTTATGATTTTCTTTCTTTTTTTTCTTTTTGAGACAGAGTCTCGCTGTTGCCCAGGCTGGAGTGAAATGGCACCATCTCGGCTCACTGCAACCTCCGCCTCCCAGGTTCAAGTGATTGTCCTGCCTCAGCCTACTGAGCAGCTGGGATTACAGGTGCGCACCACCACGC